TTGGCTTGTTGAGTGAATACATAAGACTCAAAAAAACCATTAACATCTTCTTTTGCTGCAGCTGTCTGTGAGCGCCATCCCTGTGCCAACCCTAGAAAGTGCCCAGTATCCAGGGATCCTCCCGTCTCCCACGTGTGGATACCCCACCCGCAGTTCACTCTCCGGCCAGTGCCATTCCCAACACTGTCAGTGGACCGAGGTTTTGGAGCAGGAAGAAGTCAGTGTAATGCATTTTCCTTTCTTTTAAATGAGAACAAATGAATAATAGCAAGGATGTCTTGTCAATGTGGTAACATTGTGACTTTTCTTATCCCATGAAAAGATTTGATTTGCTTATGACCTTGATACTAGAATTGAATTTTCGAAATAGTCCGTTGGCTCCTAGATCATCGCTTTTAATCTTTTCCCTAGGAGTCTTTCCACAGCACACACTACTGACAATGTGGGGGGAAGGGGTGAGGAAGCAAAGGACAAGTGTTTCATAAAACAATGATATGGTGGGTGCTTGAAATTAATTTGTCCTGTTAACTAGAAAGTTAATAATCAAGTGCTATCTTCTAATATATTCCTATTTAGTATCTGTTGGTTATGTCTCATTGATTCCTGATGAACCAGTACTTGGATGGATGCTTTAGATTTCTTTAATTGTTAGTGATTCTTTTTAGCTTTAAAATTAATTATGAGAAAAAAGTTCCAGATAGTATTTCATTTATTTGAGGGAAGGTAGGAATGGAAAGAAACTCCCAAGCTATTATACATACCCTGGTGATTTCTCCCAGTCATTTGACATTTTTTTCTTTGAGCATGGCATTTTAAAATCGATTTTATAGCTTTCATCTCTTAGTTAAGAACAGGTGACTCAGGAGCTCATGTTGAGATAGGATGTTTTGTAATAGATATGATGGTAACAGCAATAAAATATGTTTGTGAGTAAGGTATATTTTCAACCAACAGGGATAGTTTCTAAGAAATCATAAATTGTCTAGATGTAGCAAGGTTAGAATTAAAAGACATCAAAGATCTGCCAAGAGAGAATTAGATTATTTTCTCTTTTCTCACTGTGCATCATATCTACAGAATAGAGTTGTGTGAAAAACTCAAGGAAAAATGGATCCCCCAAACACAATTAGGGAGTTAAATGAGAATATGTGAGAAGTCTAACACCAAAAATTCCAAATCCAAGACAACTAGAACTGTGATTCCAGTCAAAAATTCAGAACTCACAAGTCTCTTCTTCACTTTTATCTTTATCTTAGTCCCCTACCATGAGTGATAGGAGCCAAAGTTCAATACATTTTTATTAGTAATTAACTATTTTATTCATGATGGTGTCCTCATTCTTTTCTTCCTTCAAAGCATGTCTTGTTCTAGAAGATTCATTCATTGAGGTCCAACATCTCATTAACTCTTTTTTCTCTTGAGTTGGTGCAGCAAACAATTTAACTGTCTCTTATTGAATCACAGGGACACTGATTCCAAAGTTAAAGTTCATGAAATGAATAAAAGAAATTGGTAGTATAAAATTTGTTTTATCTGTGGTTAAAAGAATTTAGTCTCACGTGCAACTCTGGCACATGACTTTTACAATAGGAAGATTGTGAGTACGTGGACAGAGACATTTGGAAAATCTCTGTATCTTCTGCACAATTTTGCTATGAACCTCAAATGCCTCTAAAAAATACAGTCTATTAAAAATTAATCAATTTAAAAACTTTAGTTTCTTTAGTAGATTTTTGTTTGAAAAAATGTTTAAAGTAAACTATTAAATAAGGTAATTATATAAACTATACCTAATCATAAATATAAAATAGATAACTGATTACATTAAACTACTATAAATAAAAATTTTAACAAAGTGCTTCAGTGATTTTTGAACATTATCTAAAATCACAGACAATGGACATTCCACTCTGCCAAGTGAGCCTTGAAAATTAATAACAATAAGTGACATTTATGGGGTGCTGACTCCTGACCCCCAACTCTGTTGTACTTCTGCGTGGATGATCTCTTTAATCCTTACAACTACATCATGAAGCTGCTACTCCAGTAGACAAATGAGGAAACTGAGAAATAGAGAGCTTGTATAGTATGTTCAAGTCAACATACAGTTATCTGTTCTTACATAACAAGTTACCACCAAAATGTAGCAATATATGTTTTATTGTTTATTTTCTCAACGGCTTCCGAGGGTCAGGAATCCAAGAGCAATTTAGCTAGGTGGTTCTGGCTTAGAGTCTCAAGCTGTGTCACGAGGTTCCTCATGGTCTCTTGGATTGGAGACCTCAGTTCCTCACCACATGAGCCTCTCTACAGGTCAGCTGGCATGTCCTCAAGCCATGACATCTGGCTTCCCCTGGAGTGAGTGATCTGCAAGAGAGAGAGAGAGCGAGAGAGCAAGCAATTGTTTTTAGCCAAATCTTGGAAGTAACATATTATTGTTTCTGTCACATTCTACTGGTCACCGGCTCAATGCTGGTACAGTGTGCAAGAGAACCCCACAGGGATGTGAATCCCTCAAGGTGGGATCCCTGGGAGTCATCATAGATACTGGTTATGGCACCTATTCCTTAGTAGGTGGCAGAACTAGGTAATGAACCCAGGCAGTTTGACTTCAGCCTTTGGGCTCTTTGCCACTATTTTAAGAATACTTACAAAACACAATTTTGTGATTATTATTGCTTTTCCAAAAGAAACTTTTGTGAAGTTTGTGGATATTTGAGAATGCCATTCTGCGACACTCACTTGTCAAAGAACACCTGAAAATGTGAAGGAGATATGAATATTTATCAAGGACAATAGACACCAAATTTCCAAATGTTCTAGTTTATATATACAGGTCATGGTGGAAAAGAGCTAGTAAACAGAAGCAGAAGGAGAAGTCATTTCAGTTGAATTCTTTCACTTCAAAATACCATTATCTTTATTCTTGTATTTGTCTCCTTCTTCTCAAGAAATCTCTCAATTCTGTCAAGTACCATGTTGAGAAATACCTAGGGAGAGTTTTATTTCTTAAAATTTGTAGCTTAAAAAAAAATTTTACTTGAGATTTCCTAAAGATAGCATTTAGTGCTAACACTTTAAAGAATGTTGTAAAAGTTTTCAAATACCAAAGTGCCCTGTTCAGGGAGTTGAGTTATTTGGTGAGGGAATTTCTACTTGAAAAATCTTTGTGCATCAGTGTTAGATATAAATTCAATTGTCAGAAAGCTGTGTCAGAACAGATTTCTTGTCATATTTGGCCACAGAGCAGAGATTTATTGAAAATACTTGATAATATTGCTCTCTAAGCTGTTTTACATAAATATAACAGAGCAGTGAGTGCTTTGTGTTGGAGTGTTCGTGTGTGTGTGTGTGTGTGTGTGTATCTCAAAACTGACATCTAGGAGGAAAATACCAAAAGATACTTTAATATATAGTGTTTTATCCTATTTTCTTAGGAGATTATTTTTATTATAAGTAAATGTAGACTTCTGTGCCCTTTCAGAAATGAATCATGGATAAAAATATTTCAAGACCAAAGCTTTGGAATATGAACTATTCTATTTCATGTCAAGAAATAAAATAATGAGCATTTTTGAGATGTGGAAACACATAATAGATTTATTATTTTTTAAACAACTTTTACTATTTGCAAGCCTTTAATAAGCAGGTCAGTAGCCAAAATGCAAAATTATTAGACAGTAAAATTTTTTTCTTCCATAATGAAAGACTTGGATCTGGAATATAAATTTAGCATCTTGAATTCTCTCAGTTCTCCATCTTATGGATTCTGTGGATTACCAAATTATTTATATTTACCTATCCACATTTATTTGGCTCTGACCCAAAAAATACATATGAAACTGTTTTTCTAAATGTATTGCAAAACACTGGTTAATTGTATTATAATAATATAATAATGTTGATAAGGAAATATAGTATGCGCAATTTGTGGAGTGAGTACCTTCTCTATCTAAAGAAGACTATCATTGTCACATTTATTTATGAGTAGAAATTGTCAATACAGGGAATACTTTGCAACCTGGCAATCAACTGTAATGGCTATGCGGTGATCCCATTTGATCAGTAAGATCAGTGAAATAATGCAACTGACTTCTTCAGAGTCTGGGAATTTGAGTTATATAAAAACAGACTTGATGCAATATTATGGCTCTTATTTACAAAAGTATTTAAGTCTATTATTTTGTTTTTTGGTAATAAGAGATAAAATAAACATTTTATAAGACAATATAAGTTGAAGGGTGACTAAAATTGGAATAAATGTTTCATAATATGATATAATTGAATAGCTATTGAATAATAGAATTGAATAATGCTGTCTAAATCTAGAAGATATTGTCTAAGACTTTTATCTGTAGGTTTCAGCCATGTAACTAAAAAAAAAAATATGTTGCTATTCTCCAAAAATATTTAGTTACATTTAAAACAATGTGTCACTTATCTGCAACTGCTTTAGCTATTTGAAGGTATTTTTTATTTAAACATAAATCGTAAGTATGACTACTGAGAATACACCTTGCTTCTCTCTCCAGACTGTCTCTCAACAGCAATACCTTCTTTTACAGAATTAATGAAAGTGCTCAACACTTTTTCACCCTATTCTACCCAGTATATCTGATTTGTGAACAAACTAACATTTCTATTGCCACAGTTCAATCTTAGAAGAAAGAATAAGACCAAGGCCAAAACAAAATAAGATAAAATAAAATACCAAAATGTTAAGGTGAATTTATGGTAACTTTGATTAATTGTTTCTTTGTGTGGAACCCTGGAAGGTTTAAACTGCAGGCTAATATTCCATAGTAAGATGCTTGAGGAGGGAACTGTCTTTTCTAAAACAAAAAGGGAGGTAGGTGGGTGGAAAGAGGTAAGTAAGGGAACCTATAAAATCCATGAGTAGTATGCATGGATTTGAGAATCTGAAAATTTAGCCATTTCCTTTTGGCTTGTTGAGTGAATACATAAGACTCAAAAAAACCATTAACATCTTTCTTTTGCAGCTGTCGTGAGCGCCATCCCTGTGCCAACCCTAGAAAGTGCCCAGTATCCAGGGATCCTCCCGTCTCCCACGTGTGGATACCCCCACCCGCAGTTCACTCTCCGGCCAGTGCCATTCCCAACACTGTCAGTGGACCGAGGTTTTGGAGCAGGAAGAAGTCAGTGTAATGCATTTTCCTTTCTTTTAAATGAGAACAAACGAATAATAGCAAGGATGTCTTGTCAAATGTGTAACATTGTGACTTTCTTATCCCATGAAAAGATTGATTTGCTTATGACCTTGATACTAGAATTGAATTTTTCGACATAGTCCGTTGGCTCCTAGATCATCGCTTTCAATCTGTTTCCCTAGGAGTCTTTCCACAGCACACACTACTGACAATGTGGGGGGAAGGGGTGAGGAAACAAAGGACAAGTGTTTTCATAAAACAATGATATGGTGGGTGCTTGAAATTAATTTGTCCTGTTAACTAGAAAGTTAATAATCAAGTGCTATCTTCTAATATATTCCTATTTAGTATCTGTTGGTTATGTCTCATTGATTCCTGATGAACCTAAAGCATCCTGATGGATGCTTTAGATTTCTTTAATTGGTTAAGTGATACTTTTTTAGCTTTAAAAATTAATTATTGGGAAAAAAGTTCCAGATAGTATTTCATTTATTTGAGGGAAGGTAGGAATGGAAAGAAACTCCCAAGCTATTATACACACCCTGGTGATTTCTCCCCAGTCATTTGACATTTTTTTTCTTTGAGCATGGCATTTTAAAATCGATTTTATAGCTTTCATCTCTTAGTTAAGAACAGGTGACTCAGCAGCTCATGTGAGATAGGATGTTTTGTAATAGATATGATGGTAACAGCAATAAAATATGTTTGTGAGGTAAGGTATATTTTTCCAACCCAACAGGGATAGTTCTAAGAAATCATAAATTGTCTAGATGTAGCAAAGTTAGAATTAAAAGACATCAAAGATCTGCCAAGAGAGAATTAGATTTATTTTCTCTTTTCTCACTGTGCATCATATCTACAGAATAGAGTTGTGTGAAAAAACTCAAGGAAAAATGGATCCCCCAAACCAAATTAGGGGAATTAAATGAGAAATATGTGGAAAGTCTAACCACCAAAAATTTCCAAATCCCAAGACAACTAGAACTGTGATTCCAGTCAAAAAATTCAGAACTCACAAGTCTCTTCTTCACTTTTATCTTTTATCTAGTCCCCTACCATGAGTGATAGGAGCCAAAGTTCAATACATTTTTTATTAGTAATTAACTATTTTATTCATGATGTGTTCCTCATTTCTTTTCCTTTCTTCAAAGCATAGTCTTGTTCTAGAAGATTCATTCATTGAGGTCCAACATCTCATTAACTCTTTTTTTCTCTTGAGTTGGTGCAGCAAACAGTTTAACTGTCTCTTATTGAATCACAGGGACACTGATTCCAAAAGTTAAAGTTCAATGAAAATGAATAAAAGAAATTGGCTAGTATAAAATTTGTGTTTATCTGTGGTTAAAAGATATTTAGTCTCACGTGCAACTCTGGCACATGACTTTTACAATAGGAAGATTGTGAGTACGTGGGGACAGGAGACATTTGGAAAATCTCTGTATCTTCTGCACAATTTTGCTATGAACCTCAAATGCCTCTAAAAAATACAGTCTATTAAAAATTAATCAATTTAAAACATTTAGTTTCTTTAGTAGATTTTTTGTATTGAAAAAAATGTTTAAAGTAAGAACTATTAAATAAGGTAATTATATAACTATTACCTAACATAAATATAAAATAGATAACTATTACATAAAGTCATATAAATAAAAGACTTTTAACAAAGTGCTTAGTGATTTTTGAACATTATCTAAAATCACAAGACAATGGACATTCCACTCCTGGCCAAGTTCTATAGGTTTTCAAAATATACATTCAGTCATTCATCAAGTATTTTTTGAAAAAAGCTGTGCACAATGCAAAAGGAATAGGATCTCAAATGTGTTCCAAGTGATTGCTTAAAAAAGAAAAAATAAATAAATAAGCAGACTCTTTCCTAAGAAACTAAATATTCTCTAAGTCACTGTCAGAAACAGTTAAATCACAGCCATTCAGTATCGGTTTCTAAATGCCATAGAGAACACTAAACATCCCTGTTCTCTCTCAAGCAGAAAACATTTCATGACTCTGGGTAGAGATGCCTTATTAGTCACCTTAAAAAACAGAGAAAGGCACACGTAGGAAAAGAAAAAAGTTGACTTGACAATTGTGGAGATTCTCCTTCCTCCAAAGTTATCTGATAGACCTTTGAGTTTTATAAGAAATGAATCCTTATACTCCTGCCCCAAAAAGGTCTGCTGCTTTCTGAAGGCACAAATAAAGCGGGTTTCTCTCTTACCATAAGGAAAGGAAAGATATAGTACATACATTTCCATCACGTATATTTGGCGACACAAAGGTTTATATAGTTGTGATGGACAAATATTTCCTGTTCCTATGAAGTAACTGCAGTTCTGCTCTTAGCCTCAGTAGGCAAATGACCTGTGACAGTGAGCAGTATTATATTTGAAAACTTCAATAAATAGGTAGTCTTGGGGTCTCATTTCTATAAATCATCATTTTCTTATCTTTGAAACAGGTAGGTGGTAGAAGAGAAAGTTAAGCAAGTTCCACTATTCTGTTCAGTTCTGACATTGTGTTAGCTAGTGGGAAGGCTGGTCAACTTATCCATGCTATTTTTCTGCCCCAGTTCTTCCCCAAATTGGAAATCAACTGACAAATGGAAATCGATCTAGATAAAATCAGTAGTGCAGTGGAGGCCAAGGATGATTCTCTAGAGTCTTTTCAGAAATTCAGGCTGTGAGGAGCTGGGATTACTCAGGAATATTGCGTGATGCTGTTCTGAGATTAATGAGTAAATTGAGCTCCTACAGGTATTCAAGTCTTTGCTTGGAGTTATTGGTGTGCTATATTTCTATCAAATATGGTAGTTGTAGATAGAAGGAAAATCCTCATTTCCATTTTTGCAATATTTTTGCAGTTATTCTGTAGCAATTATTTATGTGTGTTGACAGTAATTATTATAAAGTGCCTTGAGATCTGACTCTGCTGTGTAATTGTACGCTATTTGTACAATGAATTCTGACTATTTCATCATTTGAGAACAAGTGGCTTGCCAGCACGGATTTGATTCTCACTCCACACTCTGAATTGCAGGGAGGCTGTGCTTCGTGGGTGAAAGGAGGTTTTTTTGGTTTCAGATCTCTTAGGACAGCTAAATGTCATGTCACGGAGCCAATTTGTTCCACATAGTTGTCCTGGAGCTGGCACCTGAACTGGCCAAACGAGCTCATCTGAAAGGAGAACATTGCTATAGTGGAGCAGTTGCTATTGTGTTTGTTTAAGGGGTTTTGTTGCCTTAAATGTCAGCCAGTTCTGAAAAGCATTTATTTTGCTCCACTGAAAATATAAGAATTATGAATTATCTACAGAAATCCTATACCTGCCCATAGTATTCATTTTGAACACAACAAAAACAGTCCCTATGGGTTTCTGATACATTCAGTCCCAAGGTTGGGTCCTCCCACTCCCATCTAGTGCATTTGGCACTTTCCTTTTTACCATGTGTGGTCCTCAGGATGGATTTCAGAAAAGAGCTGGCAGGTCTGTATCAAGCCACCATTAATTACTTCCCTCAAAGTCAAGAAGAGCTATTTCATGATGTTTGCAGTGGGGACCATGGTGGCTGAAAACCTGGGGGTGAAGGACAAGCCATGAAGACAATTTTTTATTTTAAAGATGCTAATGAGAAACAATGGCATTAAAAGAGAGTAGGATTGAGAATGGACCAAAAAAAATTCAGTTGACATCATTAGAATTCACAGGAAATACAGAGTTTTGGTCAAAATAGACTGAATTTCGAAGGACTAAAAAATGTGAATTTTATTAAATATGTGATCACGATAATATTTTAACACAGATCTTTCATTGTGAAGATGCAGAAAAGAAATAGAAAAAAATGAAGAAAAGAAGGTGTATAGTAAGGGAAGTGATACATCACAAACATATTATTGTCCCTTTAATGGCTAAAGCAGCTTTTAAAATATGTTGTGGATTAATTACAATCCATCTTCAATAGAAAGAATAAAAATAAGGCAGATTTCTAAGGAAAAATATGAAATTTCTTTCCCTGGATGGATATTTCAAATGTGATTTTTATGGACCCTTTAATGAAAGCCAGCCCATTAGAGATGAAAGAGGACCAGAGAGCAGCATCCTCAGGAACCTCATGGTGAGACATGCAGTTCACCGAGAAACGAGCAAGACCTTCTGTCAAGTGGAAGCCAAAGCATTTTAAGTTGCCCAGAATTTTCCCCATGAAATTATAAACCCCTGTGGTGAATAATTTTCTCCATCCCAAGGATCACCTCTAGAGCACCCTCTCAGAAAGGGCCCATTTTTCCCTCTTATGCAATTCCTGTAATCTCTATCACTTTTTAAGTATCCTTTGAGACCTGTGGCTTGAAAGAAGTGCTAGTGAGGAGATCCACATTGAAGTAGACATTCTTATGTAAGCAAGGAGTGAGCAGAGGATTCACGCCACCACTCTCCAGCCAGTTGCACAAAGATGCCCAAGGTTGGGTATTGTCTAAAGAATCAAGCCTTTATTTAGACAATTGACCCTTGGTCATTTTCTCCTTTAGAGTAAATATGAATCTAAAGTATAACCTGCATAATTTTCTTTGTCTCTAAAACTATGCTCTCAACAATCTCAGGACACAACTCTAATATCGAATGCAAACAGGCTAGTGTTGCTCTCCCCTTTACATTTTTACAAGCAGTTTAGCTCCGTATAACACCTGCTCAAAGCCCCCATCCTATGGGCCCTTATCTGAAAACCAACATCACCAAAAAGTTGCCTAGTGGTTTCTTGGAAGCTGCATACCTTGACCTTGAGATTGTGCATGGCTTTGCCTTTCCCCTCCTTCTTTGATAGGATTTCCTAGCCTGGAGATAAGGCACATATGTTCAAATTCCTCTTGTATTCTGGGTTCTCTCCAGTTTGCTGTCTTGAGTACATTTCCATTGTTTGAATAAATCTTTTATCAAGTCTCTGCCTATTTTTTGGCCCTGGTTGCTATATGACTATACCCTGTCCTCAGTCGAAACTGTATCTTCCCACCTTTATGTTTAAATGGAATAAGCCTGGGAGCTGTTCCATGACCCAAGACCTCTTCTGAATATGGAAGAATGAGTACAGGTACCCTCTGAAGACTCCTCTCACTGCTGTATAACTTTAATATGACGTCTTGATCTTTTGTATCTTTCATCTCTACTCCCTTCAGCACTATCAGATTTTCTTTCTATCTCTTCTGCCCTTGCTGACTGACCTCCTTGAGCCTCCCAGAGAGTTATCTCAAAATTATCTCACTAATTATCTTGAAATATTTCCTGGTTAAAAATTCTCTTTTGAAAGTAAGATATTATCTTCTATTGCTGTGTTGTTGTTTGTTTTTTTTTCAATTTGCCCAACAAAATATTCTTAAGAAAAAAGTCATCAGAAATTATCTTATTTTGTTAACACTTGTACCTACTGTGCAACTCTTGTCATTTGCAGGTTAAAATAGCCCTGTTGATTTTGAATATGAATCAATAAAATTGAGTCACAGTCCTTAGCAAAAGAAACTGCCCTGAAAATATTTCAGTCTGACTCAACTGTGTTCTCTAGGAAAAAAAGATGCATTTCCATATTCAAAGCTGTCCAAATGCCCATAGGCTGTCACCGTGACTGTGCAGAAACTCTTCAACTATAGTAATCTGCCAGAAAATTACAAGGTTTACTACCAAAGAGGAAAAATTGCAATTCTGCATTCAGGCAACTTATTCCAGCAGAGTCATCTCTAATATAACTTTTTAGCTAGATGTGCCTCTGTTTTGTTATGGAAGATAATGATAGTGGTTATTATTTGTATCATTTTATTAGCAATGCCTCCAAGCACCCTGTAACTCTGATTTGTTTGACAGTTGACATGGCATGTTTAAATCACAGAAAAATTGGCATATTGGCTGGTAGATAACAATGCAGCTGTAACAGCATTTGGTACATTGAATTTCACTTACATTGCTACTTAGGAAAGGAGAAATAACTCTTTTTTCTCGCTTCATCACTTATGATTAGAGGGACCAGACAGTTCAGGCAATATTGTCAGTGCTGAATATATTTTACTACTCTTTCCCAAAGATAAATTCCTGTCCTGCTGGATCTATTTATATTGTTTAAAGGGGAAGTGCTATCATATCCCATAAATATATGAGGGTGGAGGAATGAGAATGGTCATAACTTGGAGAAGATATTGGTCAGATCCTGCTATATCTCTCTGAATTGATCCAGGGCCCTTCAAGTGACTTAGGGAAAACAAACTCTGTCTCACAATAATGAATGGCTTTTCTTGACTCCACTGCAGCGGTGAGTGAGGGACCAACCACACAGCAACCACCCATGCTGCCCCCGTCTCAACCAGAGCATCCCAGCAGTGAGGAGGCCCCGAGTAGAACCATCCCCACGGCCTGCGTTCGACCAACTCATCCACTCCGCAGCTTTGCTAACCCTTTGCTACCTCCACCAATGAGTGCAATAGAACCGAAAGTCCCTTACACACCACTTTTGTCTCAGCCAGGTAAAGTACCCATTCATTCACATTTAAAATTACTGTTATCATTGTTGACGCTATGTAAATGCTTGAGGCTGCCTGAAAAGGTCTCAATGTGGTATCTCTTTGATGTTGATTACATGCCCAGTGTGCTCATGTTTGTTACTGAGGCTAGTAGTACAGTTCTTAATTATCTGCCTTATAGACTAGACGGCTAGTTATAGGTGCTTTTCATTCCTTTGGAAAGTTGTCCATGAATCATGGATGCCAGCAATCCATCACTATTAATATGTGCCGTATGTATACCCGCCAGCCAATACCGGAAACGCTCCTGATGCCCTCACTTCATTCTGCAACATGGGTCCTAAGATTTAAAGCTAGATTCCAAGACTAGAGTTAAACTCTGCAAAACCACTTCTTAAAGAAATGCATTGAATCTCATAATTCTGCTTTGTGCCTTTCAATAGTCATCTCCCAGGGGTTCTTACTGATTTCAGAGTACCAGGGCCAGAAAGAAGTGTCGGAACATTGAAGAAGTGTTGGAATATTGAGGCCAACTTCCTAGTTTTAGAAAGGAAGAACCCAAAATTTAGATGGATAGAAAATGACATGTCTATGATGCCTTTCTAAGAAAATCAAGTGGCAGAGTTGAGCACCAGAACCCTTGATTCCCAATGCAGTGCTAATTTTAGTACCTCAGCTGATATCCAAAAGGGCTGACTCTGAGATCCATTTTGTTTTTGTTATGGACTGGGGAGGGAAGGAGGGAGGGAAGACGAGAGACAGAGATAGGAGAGGAAAGAAGAAGAAAGAGGAGAAAGAGAAAAATAAGAAGAAACAGAATGAATGATAGGTAAATAGATAAGTAGATAAATAGAGATAAAGAAATATGTAGTTCTTAAAATTATTTGGAATATTAGAATAATTCTAAGTAACCTCAGTATATCAGACATAGTAAAATTCAGTGATTCTAAGTAACCAGAGATGGCACCCTTAGTAAACTCAGGCAGCTGGACTGGACTAATCCACATTGTATAAATACATTTGAGTAATTTTCTGTTACTCAGATCCATGCCTACAGCAATTTCTGTCACTGGATTAGTACACAAGCCTCATGATGACTGTGAAAACTAGGAAAATAAGATTGTCTATGAAGTATGCATATTAATTATCTTTAGGTTAATATTGAGAATATATCTAGTTCCTGGAATCACATTAGTTGAGTTGTGCAGGTCACCCCTGAGGTTCTCAACATTTATGTGGTGTGCAGTATGGGTGCTCAGCTACTAGGCCCTGGGAGGATCATAGAGGCATTTGGGATCCATTGGTTGGGTCTTTCCTGACTCACAGGCTCTGCACAGGTCATGACTTCATTCCACAGAATATAGCCCTTCTCACTCCAGCAAAGCCCATGCTAGGATTTACAACAGGTCTGTGCTGCCCAAGCCCCCCTCTCCAGCCTCCCACACACACACACTCCACACGCTGGTTATGGCAAAGATCTGCTATTTATATTGCCCCAAAACTATGAGGTCTTTGATAATTGCCATAGAGATGATTTGAAGCAAAAGAATTCATTTAATGAAATTCCTGATTCAAGAGTAAGCTGCCTGGGGATTCCTGGCTGCAGTTGTTTTCCCCCTGCAATCCCATCCAAGCAAACAGACCTTAAAGGAGACAGGTATTCAGGATAGTGACAGGTTAATCGCAACTGCTAATAATAACTAAGCTTTAATGAATTTTTAATGAACATGCCCATAGTACATATTTATTAAAGAAGGCTTACAATATCTCACTTGATTCTCAAAACAACTTTGTAAGGTAGTGGCTAGTCTTAACCCCATTTTATGGATAAGGAAACAGACATAGAGAATATAAATATCTTATTTAAGTATACTTAGTAAGTGATGTATCTCCCCTCCCCCCATCTTTTTGACTTTAGGAAGCATGGGTTCTCAAATATTAGAAACCCATTCATGCCTCTTAGTGTATACCTAACTTATTTAGTGATTAAATCATCCTAAAATTGATAAAAGAAAAACAAATCTGAATTGAAGAATACCATTTCCTCACCAGCCTTCTTCAATCACATTTTTAATGAGGAAAAGTAAGAGGCTTAACTATTCTATACACAAAAAGATCAGTTTTATAGCATCAAGAAACTAAACTGCTGTAACACTTTATATTGTAAACTATTCTCTCTTCTTGGAAGTAAAAGCTTTTTTTTTTTTTTAAACTACGTTATATATAGAAAAAAAGCTGAAAATGATATTCTAAAGGCTATTTTAAATGAAAAATTACTACAGCAGTGATGTTTCGTTTGGAACACAAGGTTTAGAAATCAACCTATGTCCTAGAGCTCTAATGATAACAAAATAATCAAAAAGAACTACAATTTAGAAACAACATCTGATGAATGGAACACAGAGCTGGCATTATTTTTTATTAGCTGTTATCGTCTTCTTAAATACATAATACCAATGCTGCCTTAAACAAACTCTGACACATAATCCACATAAATGAGTGGATTATGTCCTTCAGAGAAGGGAAGGGGAGTTAGTTGTGCTGTCTGTGCACCTACTCCATCAAATAATAAGCGTAACTGAAGAAGCATTCTCTGATCTAATGTCAAACCATCAAAATCTCATTTTCTTTTATTTTCACTGTATGCTTAAGAGCCTTCTTTTATTTTACTACTGCTTTTGTTTTCATTTGAACTATTTCTCCTAAGTCATTTCTTCTTACATATTTTCCAGTATCTCTGGCTTGAGTTTTTGGTTTGATTTTATATTTTTCATAGCTCCCTTTTAAATATCACCCTCCCCCACTCAATTGAGGCATACCGCACCTTCCCTTTGGAATTATTAAATGCCTTCCCTTTCATGTTTCTCCTTTATTGTCTCCTCACAATTCTTGTTCATTTCATAATGTCTCACCTCATGATTTTCAAATAAGTTCTCCCTACATTGCTCCTGACATGTGGTAAATAGTATGCTTTTTAAAAAGGGCTGATGTTTACTTATTCTAATAGAAAAAGAAAATTAGCAGACTGACAAATGTATTAGCTGTGACATTAACTACATGCTTCTTAGCCTAAAAGATGAAATACTTAGAGCTTTCAACAAGTTTTAATTCTAAGAAAATCATTACTTTAGTCAAACTGATTGATGAAGTGAAGTCATTCTCTTGTCGGCTTAGAAAAAAAATACCTCAAATAATTTTACTCTGAATTTCGCAAGAAAGGACTGCATAATTAGTAATGAATTTATCTTTACTTACCAAAAGTAATTACTTTAGAATATGGTAATGTGAGGCATGGCTCTAATTTTTAAAGATCATGCTAAATAACAAACTTCTACTTTGAAAGCTTGGAGATTAGGATCAATGAAAGAAACACTTTCTGAACTCAAAATTCCTGCATGTGGATTTTCATAGGCAGCATCTTCATTCTGTGCCTCAATTTCCCTCCCAATAAGACACACAGAGCAATGTTTGCAGCTGTGTCATATGAGGTATAGGGCAACACATATTGTACAGTAACAATCTCCATGGGGTTGAAGAGCATTTTCAGTATTTCTATAGTAAGTGATAATTAGAAAGCCATTCTGTTGTCATAGCGACTGAAATTCTGCCTACCTGAAAACTGATTCATTCCTTCATTTTTTTTCCTCTTCCACCTCCTGAGTTTAAAATTGAGCTTACTAGACTCTAGGCCATTTATGGGTTTTCTTACAATTTCATCATCATCTTATGATAAGTGGTTCCATTTTTTAATGCTTTATCTATGGCCGTGAATAACTGTGTGGTCTTTACACATTTCACTGCAATCACTACACTTTGCAAATCACAAATGTGGACATATAAGTGATTTGGCTTAGTCCCCTTTCAGGTTAAATAGAAAATGTTTGATAGAGTGTTGGGCTTATTACATTATAGATCTGACATAAATTCTACAAAGGGCCAAGATAGGGTATGTTTTTTATTCTTTACTAGTGAAAATTCCTTTTAGCTGTGAAATGATCAGCTGCACTTTAAATGAACCTGGGTTAGGGGACCATTTGTCTTCTAGGGCAGTAATTCTAAAGGGAAAGAAAATGTGACCCCTTAAATAGTGACTTTTATATCAGAGCACTCTTTTATAACATTAGCCCCCTAGAGCTCTTGCAACTTTGCAAAGCTGCGTAAGTGCTAGATTGTCCTCCATTTACGCATTGCATTTCTACACGTATATATTTACGAGAGCAAAAACCAAGAGCATTCTGATCTTTTCAATCTTTGAGGGATCAATATGTCAGTGGACATGACGAGACCAAAACTCCCTTCATTGTACTGCGAAATTGAGTTTGATTTTCCCCCTGCAAATTGTGGCATGTGCTTCAATTTATCTGAGGATTGAGGACAAGAAGTGGGTGGAGGTGGCTGACAGTGGACAGAAAGGGTGTTTGATTTATATTTTATGGATGGTTGGGAAATCATGTATTCCTGCTGTAACCTGATCTTTTTGGCAGGCCTTATTTCAGTAAATCTGCTATTACAAAAAACTACCAATAAATTACTATAATACATTAACACAATTGCTTTCCCTGAGCCACTTGTAGGCCACCATGGGGGGTATTCATCAAGGATACCTCATGAGTGTTCCAATCTGCTAAAATCAGTCACAGGCAAAGGTCTTGGGAGATCAGATATCCTTTAGCAGGTGACACAAGAGGGTCATTTCTAAGGCCAGTCAGATTCAATAAATCATTGGCACAGATAAGTAGGAGAGATGTGTTGATTTGGTGTCATTGGAGCCAATACCTCCAATCAATTCTAGACTAGAAAATTACACTGCATCCAATTACATAAATTTCATCTCATGTGGAGGCCCATCTGTGTCTTTTTATAGATCTATCCTTGTAATATTTCTGTCCTCACTCCTAATAGATTTTTTTTAGTAGATGAAATTTGATTTGATTTGGTTCAGTCATCCTAAATTATCCCTTGGCAAAATGTAATTAAGGCAAATTTGCCTTAGATATCACTAACATTTGTGACTCTGGAACTTACTTGGTGTTTTAATGAATTAGTATTTTCTCTACTATGGTGTTTTAATATATAAATAGGTAAAAGAGCTCTGTTAATTGCTCCCCAAAGAGAGGGAAACAATTTCTAGAGGAGACTTTATGAGTAAGCCATGTCACTAATGCCTCATTTATAGGTGACAAAGCTGAGACCTAAAAAAGTTAAGTAACTTTCCCAAGGTCAACAAATGAGCTAACAGGCAGACTTAAAGAATTCAGAGAAATATAATATTGAAGATAAACCAAGGATCTTATTTAGCTTTTTTATGATGATAACGGTTATTCTTAGATTGACTTTTTCCCCCCTAGAAGGGGTCATCTAGAATCTTAATTATTAAGTATCCCTTAGAAAGAATTACAGCAGGTAGGTTGAGTCATTTAGCTGAGTGTTTGAGTAAATGTTTCATTCCTTTTTGGTAGCATTAGATGAAGAAAAGAAGTTATAGCAAGAGTAGCAACTGTCTGGAGAACTCCAGAATATCGGCCATCTGTCTTAAACTCACCTGTCCAACCTGCCGAGTATCTATTCACAGTAAGGCAGGAAGCCAGGGGGCCAACAGCTGTTACTTTCAGCATCACTGATGTCCAGGGCTTTGGGATCCAATTTAAAAATTGAAGATGAGCATAAAGAAGTATAAAATAAAAATAAAAGGGCACATGGGAATATTACATTGTGGGTTGAAGAACATGACGGTAGGTCCATGAGAACAAAAAATGAATGAGTAGTATTTTTCAGATTTGCAAAAAGCTATTGGAGGGGCAGAGCTTTGAGAGCTTTTCATCAAAGTATTACCTAATTAAAAAATAGGTGAAAATATTGCATCAGGAATTGTTAGATCATATATAAAATTGAACTTTAACTATCAACTCAATACAATTAAATTGTAGGGTTAAAGTATTAAAGTTGCCATCCAGATAATCAAAAGAGAAAGTGAGAAAATAATCTATTTTCAGAAATGTGTAACCAAATGGACAACATAATTTGAAATGTGTAATTTATGAAGAATGTCCTTGGGTTATGCTATGGCGCAGGTAGCCCTCATGGGTGACAGAACAGTGAAAGAAAAGGTTGTGGTATGGCTCTTTTCAAAGCAGTAAATATTCCTTTCACATTGTGTATTAACTTGATAGTTCACATAGTTAACTAGTATTGTATAGATTTTATTGTTATCTGTGAAATATTTTTAAAATCAAAGTGTCTTTCTAAAAACCAGCTTATGTGAAAGTAATAAGGCTCATTCATGCTTTACATTTCATCACCTTTTGTAGTTTATAAAGAACATTTTCAAGTAAATTCCTTTTTGCCTGAGAAGTAACTATACTCACCATTTCCCATACAGAAGTAGATGTTCAGAGAGGTTTTCTGAATACCTTGTAACTTTTCCAGGATCATGTGTCATTTTTCTTGGGACCTTCATCCAAAACCTCACATGTAATGAACCTTAAATATTTGTTGATTTGATCAGAATAGAATAAAAAAGATGCGAACTAGAATTTGAATTCAGTTCTTCAATTTCAAGTCTAATGATGATTTTAGGTGATGCAAAGCAACTTGAAAATTAGTAAAAGGATTATATTTAAAAGGATTTGGTACTATAAAAAGATAAAGGCAAATAAGATAAAATGACTTCTAAATTCATGACCATTTGTTGATAAAATGCTTAATAATCTGAACTATGAAAAAAATCTTATGCTAAAGCCAAATAAATTATGTAAAATAGAAAATACAGTTTGAAGCTACAGTCCCTGGAAATTTCTATTCAATAGTTTACCTTCATGAAAATAAATAGATATGCAATTGCACCCATGGTAGAAAGTAGAAGAATAGCATCCACTGTGTTCATAAAAAGAGGGAGTGAGTTAAGTGGAATTACCCACTATGGAACCAGTTTTGCTCCTCTGAATCCTATTGAATCCTACTTTCTCTCCTGTGTAATCAAATGTTTTTTTTCTCTTTAAGAGGAATGAAGCATGAAATTCTACAATCTTAATTACTACCAAAATGGGATGGGGGGCAGGTATTCTCTCTGTATTCCTTTGCTTTGTGAAAGAGTGTAAGAGAAAGGTTTTAGTTTTAACAAAGATTCTGAGACTTATGTTATGCATGTCAAGTATTCTAAGTAGTTGACAGAATTCTATGTGGTTCATCAATTAGTGTCAGGTTCTGCTTGTTTCCTTTGGGAGCAGGGGGAGATGCTGAAACAAAAAAGTCTTCACATAACACTCTGTGTTCATGGACATTGAATGTGTATGAAAAATCTAAGACACTGAAAGCAAACAAAAAGTCTCTGTGATATTAAAATAAACTGAGACTTTAACCATCAGCAAACTATTTCTAAAGATATGACCTGTAATAGCTAAAAGATTATATAAAAAAAACACTGAAAGCTCCCACTTCTGGATGTTTAGAACTTTTATCTTATTGGCAGGGACTAAGAAAAGAATTCAAATGCCACGTTAAACATCTTGTGTGTTTCCCAGCATTGACTTTCATCTTAGGCTTGCAGGAGGATTGATGTTCTTATTGCCAGAATCTCTTCATTTACCAGAATGTCAAGGCTCTCAGAGGAGAATGCCTTCATCTTTCTGTGGTAAAAGGGATCCTGACAAGCTTCTTTTTTTGTTATTGGTGAAAAACAATGCTAAGTAAGCCCAATTCATTTCAAAATGAGAGGCATATGATGACATAATTGCACATATAGGCTTATAACAATGATGATACTTGCAACAACTGCTTTTTTTCAACATCTTTTCCAAAGTACCCTTCTAAAACATTCTTCTTTCACATTTCTCAGTATGTTGTATGTATCTTTTCACTTCTGAGGTCAACTGAGTCATAATTTTCCAATACAGACAGCATTTTTCAAGCCACAATAATGTATTAACCTAGTATGCTTTTAAAATCAAGCATTAACTTTTAGTTTCAGTCAGTGTACATTTAAAATGACATTTATTTTCTTTGTGACTACTCTCTCAAGTGGCACCTCTGGTAATAGAAACAGGCTCCTCTGCGAACACAAGTCTGAGCTGATACCTTAGAATACTTGGTATAATCTGGAGACCACATTGCCTAATAAATTGAGCCCAGTGAAGTTCCCCACACCATATATATGAAGCAGTAGGATCATGTGGAAGGGAGTTCAAAAGTGTATTTCGTGCCTTGATAGCTGGTGAAACAAGATGTAACTTCTTTGTGCATGCTGTATTTCCCCACAACTATATGCAACAGAGAAAAGGCAGCCAATGAAATGGACCCTGTGCAGAAGACAGGTGGTGAGCAGAGCAGGTTAGAGTAGCTGCTCAGAGGTGTCTGAATGTTGTCCTCTGAATCCAGAGAGAAGGGTGGCCTCTTCCAGTTGAACAGGGCTTGATCTCAAGTCATAACTCCATTTGACAGCCAGAGAGCCACTCCCAAAAGGTCCTTTAAATAATCGCACTGTATTTCAATAGCTTAAGTTCTAGTAGGGCATTATATTCAACAGGTGTACAGATTTGGTGGTCACTGTCTGGCTTCTCTCTCTTTTAACCAGAGCATCTCCTGAATTGCTTGTCATGATGGACCAATTTAGTGTAAGTAAAGCTTAAGGAATGTCCTAGATCTCAGCTTTAACTTCCAATTTAGCTATTCCCTGCACCAACCCTTTCCAAAGAGAAGTGAGGAGCAAGAAGCAAGCTATTGAAAGTGGGCAAAAGAGGCTATTTCTCAATGAACACATGTTAAGACATCACTGACCTTTGTCCTCTCATTCACAAATAATTTGTTTTGTTTTCTTAATAATGTTATAGCATGAATCATTTCCACATGTGATTTGAGATATAAATTGTAAATTCTAAAATAAACATGAGTGTGGCTGTCTAAAAACAGTTCTTCTCAAGTTTCATATGCCTTGGAATCACCTGCAGATCTTATGAAAATACAGATCTGGATTTAGTGGATCTGTAGTAGAGCCTGAGTTTCTGAATTTCCAGAAAGATTCTAGGAGATGCTGAGGCTGCCCCTCTGCAGATCACACACTGAAGTAATTTTGTTTTTGAACAGACTGTGTGCTCTTAACCTGAGGTTCATGGAAGAACTCGTGGGTTTGGTAACTCACTTTATTTTATTATTATTTTTTTATTTCGGCATATTATGGGGGTACACATTTTAAGGTTTCAATAAATGCCTTTCCCCTTGGTGTATGTGTGTGTGTGCATGCACTCATGCATAGCTGTACATTTTTATAGCAACCAAGTTCATAGCTTTTATTAATTAGCATCTTGAATTATTCATTACCTATAACAGGTTAAGAACAACTTAACCTGCTGTTTTGTCATCACCCTCCCACTAGGCTCAGCTGTGGAAAATGTAAGCACCAAAGTCTGTCTTTCTTTTGTTTTATTTCTTGCTTTTCAATACTAGTTCCCAAAACATTATATTGAGACACCTTTCTAGAATCTAAGGCCAAGAGCTGAGTACTTGTGCCCTGCCCAAATGAAATCCTGCAAAATTTAATCATTCATTTTTGTAGAAACATCTGAGGCCTTTGTGTCCCTTCTTCAATGCCTGATGAAGGAATTAGTTAGATTAGAATTTATAAATGTGTTAAAAGGGGGCCCGCTTCTGAAACTCTCCCTGATTTTTGTTGCCTAAAAGAAGATCGATAGATAAGATTTATAACTTTCTATGGTAAGTTTCTCCAAAAGATGAGCTCCCAAAGGGAACTGGGATGTGTTAGTTTCCCTTTGCAGGGAATCATCTTAACCTGTCCTCGGCACCCCTCAGTCTAGTGGAATAGCAGGGTGTACCTCCAGCAGCAATGGAATGATTACATGCACATTTCCCCAATGACTCATCATTCAGTGAAAATTTTTGATTCAGCCAGTGTCACATCAGGGTGAACAGCATATGCAATCTGTAAAATAAATTTTAAATTTTTTTCTGGTGGTACTGATGGTACATGAACCTATAAACAATGGTATTATATATCACAGAAAATAAAAGATAATTAAATTATGTTTATTTGAGCAGTCAAGAAGTTAAATTGTATTATATAATTTCCTGAAAGATATTACCATAAATAATTTATTATAAAATATTTTAGGTATTTAAGGAGTAAATATGTGTTTGAGGAGGCTGGGTGGTGGTAAGGAAGGGTTGAGAAAAAGGAAAGTTTTTAAATAAAAAGGACCTGGTTTCTTCCATAAATGAGCAATTAAAGTCTACCTTCCTTTTCCTTCCTTCCTTCCTTCCTTCCTTCCTTCCTTCCTTCCTTCCTTCCTTCCTTCCTTCCTTCCTTCCTTCCTTCCTTCCTATCTTCCTACATTCCTGCCTTCCTGCCTCCCTCACTTCCTCTCTTCATTCTTCTCTCTTTCTCTTTCTTTCTCTCTCTCTCACTCTCTTTTTTTCTCATTGAAAGTTCCCTCTTTGCGGATCATAGCTTCTGAATTTAAATGAAAGCAGGTACTGTAGCAGCAGCATTCAGTACAGGAGTATTTAAAGTTGAAAAATTCCAGATTAGAGACAGGAACAATGGTAGATTATTGGAAATAGCCCTAAGAAAAATGGTTAAAAAATGAATACTAGATCTCTTGATGTTTTTGATGTTTGATAATTTTCTGCAAAGAAGTCTCATAGTAACCTTCCTCCCTGAGTTCCTGGGTTAGGTGGATTGCACAGGGTCCAGTTCATGAGAGCCCCTCTGCTAGTGAAAGGACATCCCCACCACCCAGGCAGCATCCTTCCCTCATCCTCCGGCTCCACTGCATTTATTGTCTCTCATACATCATACAGTCAGTGCCTTCTCTAATTCTTTCCTGTGTCCAAAGTTAGATTTTATTTACTTATTCTATATGTAGTATGACCCTAAAGAAATATTTCACACTTATGTGATTTGTCCTCCCAATCTAATGTTTCAATATTCTTAAAATATGACAAAAATCCTAATTTGTGCTGATCTCCACTAGATACTCAAGGAAAAAGTGAACTGATAACTACCATGTGATGAGATTTGCAAACTTTATTACTGATAATTATCACTATCAAGCACTTACTTAACCATAGGTTAACTATCTCATTAAATCTTCACAAAAACACTAAGAGAAAAGTATTATTAATATTTCTCCCAATTTACTCATGGGAAACCTTTGGATCAGAGAATACATGCAATGTCATATTATATGTAAATACATGCAATGTCATATTATATGTAAATGACAGGGCAAGAATTTGAACAAGTACTTTCTGAATTTAAAGCTTAATTTCCTGAGCAACTATATTATAATACATATACATAAAGAGTGAATGACTGTGTGAATAATAATCCCATAACTAATAAACACTCAACCTATATTTTGGCATCTCCCTTAACATGTAAATATACACATTGCAAACATTTTTTTCCAGGGGTAGTTTAATGTTCTCCATAGAATTTATACCTATGACAGAATACTCCAGCTTCTGAATTTGCAGAAGGAAAAAACAAAAAAAAAAAAAACTAGACTTTGTTTATTTCTGTTTTCTTCATGTATTAATTATACTTTCACTGGTTTTTATTTTGTCACACTTTTTTTGATTTCCTTTCTGAATACATATCAATTACATTTTTTTTCATGCTTGAATTAGTCCAATATGTCCACCTGAAGAAAGTTTAATTTCTCATTGGAAGACTAAAACAAATATCTATCTAGATGTTAAAACCCCAAAGATAATATGCACTATTTCTAAGCCCAGTAAAAGAAATCCAATGATCTATTTTTTAGAACTGGTTTCCAATCATTTTAAAGATATGAAATATTCAGAGACTTCATGCTGTAGAATAGTTTATGAAAAATTCCTTAGAAACATATTTTCCTCATAAATAATTTCCCATATGTGGACTTGAAGAGATCGTCGTTGTGGCTCAGTATGACAAGGATTAGTGAGAATTTTTTTTCTGACATTTAGTTCCATTGCAAATAAAGAAGAATAAAATCTCGAATAACTAGTATCAAAACAACTAGTATTGTTGTTTACGTGCCTGTGAGAAGGAGAGAGGATACCTAAGTTTTACCATTTCTCTCTGTGGTTTCCAGTTAATGAACTAATAGAGACAAGCTGCTGGTAACCAAATGGAAATCAGAAGTCAGAGAGAATCATGACTTTCTGGAATGAATGAGTAGCAGTAGCTGGAAGGCCTCTTCCTCCTTCCCTGACTACAAGGCTATTGGACCCCGTTAGCTGTGAACTGGAACAAATAGTAGAAATATGGCCCCACTAGAGTCAGGCCTCATTTTGTTGGCTTAACATATGCGTGTCTTTGGAAAGTTTAAGTCCAGAGCCTTTGATGTCAACCCCAAGCAGATTTAAAAACTTGAGCAGTGACCTTTAATTAGCACATGAATCCTATCCTCCAGCTTTTCACAGAGCCACCTTCTTTGTGACTCAGAATAGCCTCCTCTTATAGCAGGAGGAATAAAAGTGAAGGAACTTCATCATCAGCATGTCCCCAGTGGGCAGGTGTGCTGCTGCCTTTTTCTTGGAGGAGAAACAGGAAATTAGGAGAAGAGCACAAAGTTTCTCTTCCCAGCAGTGGCATCTAGATATGTTTAATATCCTAAAAATGCAATACACATTACAGACTAAAATGTCTTAAGATTGAGGCAAAATTTTTATGTTTCCAATTTGATCACCTATGAGGAATGCCTGTGGCTATTTTGTCTAGGTAAAGGCGGCTACTCCCTTTTTGTTCAATATTTTGTAAACATGAAAAGGTAGTATTGCACAAAGTTTTCTATACGTATTTCTCATTTTCCCCATAGCCTTAAAAGCTCCTTGCCTCTGAAAAGTGTAAATGACTATATGACACTTCCATATTGCCCCAGATAGCCTGAGCACGGACTAGTTGCTTAATAATAAATCCATGTAAGAATCCTATTCTGGTTCACATGGAAACTAGACTGAGAGAGGCCATTTCATTTGTCTGACATCACAACATGGGTCAGAGAAACAGTAGAAATGAGAACCCAGGTTTCTTCAAAATTAGCCACTTTAACTTCATTCTTAAGGCTGAAGGGATAGAAAATGAAGTAGGAAATAGGGAAAAGTAGGCTGAGACATGAGTTCATGTGGCAGTCAGAACCATGCTACACGTTGGTTACTGATCTGACCCAGATGGGTCTTTTCTCTCCATTCTTGCTACAGCCTAATGTTTCTCACCAAAAAAAAAAACATTTTACTTGGGAGAACCTTCTGCAAGGAGATGCCCGCAGGAGTCTGCATGCGGCAGTCATGTATTATGTGCCTAATGAGTAAATGAAATGTTCAATAACTGTGCTGTGAAAATGAAGCCGTGAAGCTCAAAACAGTATTCCTGCTGGGGCTGCTCACATATACCAGATACACACTGCCACCCATCTCAGGACTCCAGCCCATCTTTATTTCCCCTCCTTAGCATTGCCTGCTGAGGAGATAACATTAAAACCAAAGCGATGTTCACTTAATTAGCTGTATATTGGTATGAGAACATTTATTTTGCACATCCATATCCAGTGTTCCATCCACGGGTCACTTGAAACACTTCCCCAGCATGCACCCTGGGTAGGGGGAACTCTGTAGTGGTTTCAGGTTGAGCATTTGTAAATTTACATTTTTCAATTAACTCACAGATCACTTAAACTCACAGAAATGTAATACTGCTTATTTTTAATTAAACTGTCTGTTGTTTGAACTACAAAAGTGATGCAACCCTAATTGATGTTATAGCTTTTCATTAAAAATTTTAAGAAAAATAATAGAACATTTACTTTCTATGAAGTACTGGTTTAAAACCCAATTATTGCAATTTGAGTTAAGCACTCACTTTACTGGAGATTTCTTTGGGCTCAATGGATTAACCAATACTTCCTAAATCTTTAGGAGAGACAAGAAGTCCAAATGTAAAGTTAAGTGCAGGTAGAATAGTTATATCCTTTTTCTTTGTATAATATTTATATCTAATAGCTTAAAGATTAAATTGCTTAACCTTTATAGATGTGAAGAAACCAAAACCCAAAGAAATTAGGCTAATGAGCCAAGGTCACAAAATTAAGTAAGCTTGTATCCCCTAAGTCCTACGCTAGAATACTTCTTCCATATTGTATATTTATTTGCACACTCATGCTGTTTGGAATTCATTGTATATATCACACATAGTTTACTGTCATGTATAAAAAAAATAATACAAGAAATCAAAACCTTTTGTCATGGAGATTAGCTTCTTTAGTATGGGAACTGTGTCTTCTCTCAAGGCCGGTCTGCAAAGAAAAAGGAGAATTCTCCAATTTCTCAGATGTTCTCCTTACTAGCTGCCACCCTCAGGTTTGCTCTCCTTCCTCTCCTAAAATGAGATGGGTTTTCTTGACCACACTCTGAAAGTCATTTCTCATATTTGGGAGAGATCTCAAGAAGATCTTAACTGCCAGGTTAAGATTACATTAAATTAGCAGCTAGAAGCCATGGAAGGGATTCTTTCCATTTTTGTCTTTTTATTTTACTTTGATACATTTCCCTAATAAAGCTCATAGAAGTTTCATGGAAATTGTTTATGTTTGAAGCAATTATTGGTGCTATTCTCCAAAGTGAAGAAAGAAATATAAAGCTTTCCCTGTTGCTACAATCTAGATCTAACAACATAGAAAAAAACTGTAAACAATTCTACCATTTCTTGATATTAAAGAACAGGAGTTTAACACCCTGAAGTTTTTTTCCTAATTGCTATTATTTCCATTAGTTCTTTGGGAGAGTAGGATGGTGGCTCTCTTACAGTGTGCCAAACACTGCAGGACACAGCAAAGGCTATCGTGCCTTAAGGCAGCCTGTCATGGAGAAGGAGCTACCAAGAATGGGTAAAGCCAGGAGTGCAAGTAGAAAATGGACTTTTAACCTGGCTTCTGAGAGCAGTATAGAAAAGGCTGTATAGTATCTGAGGAAGCATGGCAAAGCCCCGTCTGCCGTTGAAATCTAGGAAGGCTCCATATGGAGGAGAGGGATAGGACGAATAGCCTCTGAAGGGTAGCAAGCCATCAACAGCTGAGAGGTCCCACAATCATTCCCAGTGTCCTATTCAGATTAGAGCAAGCTCTAGGCCTCACTCACTAACTCAAAAACCAAATTATGATACTGCTTTCTTACTCGAGTATGGTACACAACCCGAGAATGGTCTTATTATTTTTTAAATAAAGATGTTTCTTTTGTTTGGTGTAGAAGATGGATTCAGAATCAAGGGTTTTGGGAAGGCACCTGGTCATGTCTAGAGGCTGAGTGAAGGACTAAAGGCATGCCTCATAGCCTCGTGGATGAACAGGGACACAGGCCAGACAGTCAAGAAAGAAGCCGGTCACACATGGTGAGCTGCAAGTTCACAACTAAAGGAAAAAGCACAGCTCAGTGAGCTCGTAGGAACCCAGGCTTCACCAGCGTCTAGGCATAAAACATTACAAATTGAATCTATGCAAATACAAATATCGCATAGGATGGAGTTATGCATGCCCAAGAACATGATGTCAGCTTTCCAACAAAAGATGTTTTCATGAACATCTTTGTTTTAAAACATGTATCCTCCTTTATGAAAGGGCAATTTTGAGAACAAAGTTGCCTAATTGGTTGTTAATAAATCTCACCTGGGAGATTTCCTTCATACTCTTTTTTTTTTTTTTTTTTTTTAAATTCGCTTTTCAGGAAAAGAAAAAAGAAATATTTAAGGCCATAGAGGGCACCAGTCAAATTCTACTAATAATGAACTCTGGGGGACTGTTCAAATTCTTTGCCTCTCCTGGAATTTTATTGAAATTAATTCTGCTTTGATCTCTTGATCTCTAAGGACCTCAGTGTTCTCTTCAGCAAAATAAAGGGAAGGTCACTAGATGAACTCCACAAGCCCTCAAGGTTCTGGCATTCTAAATTTCTGTGATTCTATAAATATTACTTGAAAAAAAAGGTTTAAATGGACTATGTGGTCTTTGAACTAAGACAATGTCTTCAGTTCCTTTTGTAAGGCTCACAGTGTCTTGTACATTTGTTCAACACTCAGTACATTCTGAATGTATAGCTGTTGCCTGGGCTCTAGAGAAAATCAATTATTATAATCATCTTTCTAATGGGTTTGAGTGATGATACTCTTTAAGCATGTCTGTACTTTATTGTAACAATATGAGTGTGGCAGACAGTATCATATACACAATGCAATACACCCAAGTGTTTGGGATTCTGGGTAAAAAATATAAGAATATATTTCTAAAGTGAAAACTATAGGCCATGCCCAAGAATTCAGTTTCTCTATATATAAATCTGCCAATTTGTGATAAAATAAATATTAGAGAATGATATACAACAGTCTGGTAAATTCTAAAACATTTATTTTTATGTGTTTCCTGGAACAAAACAGGCACTAGCCCTAATGTTTGTTTTTTACATAATTAGCTATGTTAATACCCTTTACTTTTTCTTATATTAATAGATACTTAACATTAGAGTGAATTGGTTTTCGGTATATGCTAAACACATACTGCTTATGTTTGGTAAAGGGTTAAATTGTGAATTTTCAGAAGTAGTTAAGTTCCTTAAACATTTTTTAAAACTAAGAGCTAAAAATTTTAAAAAAGTAGATTTTGTGATCAGAGCAGCCTAGCTAGAAAATAAATAAAAGGTACATACAAAAAGATACACACAGACCAGAGTGAGTTGTTCAAATGCAGCTGCTATGTTAAACACAAGAAAGGATGAGAGGTGGCTCCTAGAAAGTGCTAAGAGCAACAGCCTTTGTGACAATAAAACTAAACCCAGATTTAATCGGAACATCGTGAGCATTCTAGAAGGGTTTACAAACATAATTCAAGCAACATAATTCAAAACAGGGGTTTTGTAGATATATTCACAAGATTCATTCCTCCTTTTTAAGCTTTTAAACTTTGCAAATTCTTTTTTTAAACTTTGTGCCTTCACTTAAATAATAATCTAATATACTAATGTGAATTACTCATGCTGGAGCATCTGGCTGGCCATTTGATAGCATCGCTCTGCCAGGGATTTTAATGCCTGCCTGTGCATTTGGATGTACAGCAAAGATGGCCCTGGGAACTTTGTGTTTAAGGTCAGAGGCTGAAGGGAAAAGGATAGAGGTAAACTTAGTACACAAATGGTTTGTTCACATCCGATGAAGACTACCTGACATTACAGTCTGTGTATGAATGAAGGTCTGCCTGTTGTTAAATGAGACAATATTGGTAATGAGAACTGAGCATGTATAACACAAACCCAGATGATTGTGACATGGCAACAGTGCCAAATTCATATGGTGATTTTGTATTAGCCCAACAACCTCATTTATCATATTAAATTAATGATGATAATTCAAATTAGACTATTTTTATAGGGCTTCTCTACACAACTTTAAATGTGTTTTGGTTTTATAGCATAGCATAAGAACTACAAGTTATGAAGCTTATAGCAAATTTTTATTTTTGTGTATACTTATATAACATTTTAATAAAAATAGTTTAAATTAATGCTGGGGTTTATTAAAGTTTTGTTTTTCCCTTCAAATTACAAGTCAGTAATGAGAAATGATGACACATGAATACTTTTCACCCTCTAGTTACTTATGGTTTTTGAACTAGATTTCATGTTCATTTATATTCCTTCTTTCAAAAAGTCCATTTAAATTGGATCAACATTTTAGTGATAAAATCTTCATTTGCTCAGTGGCTTTAGAAAGAGCTTGGTACAAACCCTTATCCTGCCTGTCTGTTTCCAAACGTGTGAACTTGGGCAAGTTACTTTTTCTGCACTTTGGCATCCTCATGTGTGAACTGGGAAGAATAATAATAATTAGCAAGATTGTTTTGACAATTTAATATTAATAATAGCTATCCCTCTTTGAACAAGTTACTAGGTATTAGCCACCTTAAATATATAATCTCATTTAATTCTCACAAATTACTATTATTACCCTTTCTATTTTATAGATGAAAAACAGCCAAGGCAGCTTTAGTTGACAAGAGATTGCATAGATCTGAACACAGACTGGATTTACCTGTAAATCCCAAATTCTTCCTTACTATGCAATTTTGCTTAACATGCAACTGAAGTGCTTGGCATAGATCCAGAGTTTAGTAAGCACTCAATAAATATTATTTCCTTCTCTTAAGAAAATGATTCATGTTTCTCATCTCTGTATCTCTTCTCATCTGAGCTACCAAAAACCTAAGATCACCCTCTAGTGATAAATTATTCCAATTGCAGACTTTTGATCCCTGAAGTATAAAAGTGTGAGAAGGTATAAATATGAAGGAATTACATGTAAGATCATATTATGGGAAAAGGTGCTTATGTTAGGATTTATCATTGATGGTGACCAACATCTGACAGATTACCAGTTCATTAGATTTTATTTGAATTGTTTCCTTTCCAATCAAATGACTCTTATTTTTCTGATTGTAGATTAACCTCTGAGCTTTAATAATTAGAACTCTGTTCTCCAAAGTATAGTCAAAACTAGTTTTTCTTGGCAAAATGTAGGATCCCCATTAGGACCATTAGGGCTAAAATGTCATCATTCACAGTAGAAGGGAACTGAGGAAGACTTCTTTTCATGGCTTACTCCAACACCCTTCTGCTAAGCTCTTGGTTATAGTGCTAATAATAATAAAAACTCCTTAGTTGTGTGAGGTATGATATACTAGCTGATTCAATAAACCTTTACAAAAGTTTTATTTCAGGCTATAGGGACAAAGTTGTATCATTGCTATAAGCTATGCAGGATTTATAAGGTAAATTTCAGGCTGAAAAAGAAAAGGCAGCCCTTATTTATAGTAGACAGAAGTATCATCTGCTTCTAGATGGATGTAGATACATCTACATCTAGATACTTAGCAGTTCCTCAAATGATTTTCATGAATTAGAATGTCTTTTATTGACAGAAGCTGTAAATAGTCAAGACAGAATTATAGTATTTTTTTTTTCCAGAAGAGAATTAGACATGATATTCTAACAGGTTAGCCACGAAGGACTTTGTTTCAGTGTAATATCTAGTGCTTATTGGTAGACCAGAGCAACCATATTTTCTAACTCCACAAATCTTCTTTGGTTCTGTTATGCAATTTAGGGCCTATTTCGGTGGTTTAGCACAGGGTTTTCTAGCCGTCAGCTGAGACTGGCACCACATAAGCTTGCCTGAGACTTTATAGGGTGTGATGAATAGTCCAGAGCTCCCAGACAACATTTCACGATGTGATTTGGAATCCACTTGAAATTACATGTGACTCGTGGAGATGCATCTGGAAAAGCCTAATCAGATTTTGTCTTCCATTTAGTAGAAATAAAATGAGCCCATTCATGGTGTCAGAATCCGTCTCTAAGCTACAGAATGAGCAATAACCTAAAAGCAATGCCAACCTACTGGATTTGGCGCACGTACTTGAGAAATTGCTCCCCAGGATGTTTTATACATTGCTTTCATCACTTTGCGTTTTCTATTTCAGGGCCCACTCTTCCTAAGACTCATGTTAAAACAGCCTCTCTCGGGTTGGCTGGAAAAGCAAGATCCCCTTTGCTTCCCGTGTCTGTGCCAACAGCCCCTGAAGTGTCTGAGGAGAGCCACAAACCGACGGAGGAATCAGCCAATGTAAGGACGTCTTTGAAATTCACCCCGCAACAAGGGAAGCGTTGACTGGTGCTGGGTGCTACAATCTAAGCCAATGAGCACTTTCCATTAACCCCAGGCCTTTCCTTGTTCTTACTGTTGTTTTGTTCTGTTTTCCTGCACCCAGTTATGAAGAAAACGAATTTTATAGAAGATATAAAATATTTTAGAGACTTACTTACATAAAAGTTAATAATATTTAACACGTTGAGTGCCACATTAGAGAAAAAAAATTTTCCTTGGGGTCACAGTGTTTTATTATGAAAATGGAATGAAAACTTCGAAAACAAAATGATCGTTTCTAATTTAATGGAAAATTTGTTATTTCTTATTGTTTTCTGTGCGTGAGTTATATACAAGTTGAAAAATAGTTCTCATAGCTCCCAGTGTGAAGAGATGTGTGAGTTACATGTGTTTCATGAGGCCCTGGGGCCCAAAACTAGCGTGAGTTAAATACAACTCACATGGCAGTTAATGTTAAGGACAATCTTAGAAATATAAGCATATAGCTACAGACAGCTATAGTATGTGTGATTTTTTTCATCCATGTGTATATAATATATACATATACACATATATGTGTGTTTCAATTAGATGAAATATATTGGCATTCCTGGAAATAAAAGTATATAATTATTCCTTTTATTTCTTTCTGTTTTTTCTTTTTCTTTTTTTTAAAGACTGGGTCTCGCTATATTGCCCAGGTAGGAGTGAAGTAGTTATTCACAGGCACAATCATAGTGCACTACAGCCCTGAACTCCTAGGCTCAAGCCCCTAGGCTAAGGCTTTATCCTAGCCTCCAAGTAACTGAGACTACTTGTGCATGCCTGTGCACCCAGCTTATATAATTATTCTTTAAAATTAGAAACATAAACAAAAAGCTATATTCTGAGAGTTTTTTGAAGTCTTCATAAATATTGTTTCTGAATAATAAAATAGCCTGTAAATACAGATTCGAGAAAAAGAAAATGCAAAATGAAGAAATGAAGGAAAGAGTTTAAGTGAAAAAAAGAAGGAATGGCATATTTAGAAAATAAGAGGGGAAAGTTTAATTATTTAAAGAGAGGAAAAATTAGTAAGGAAAGAAGTTAAAAAGTGATCCAATTAGAAAATTCAGAAGGAAAATCAATGGAGAAGGGAAAAAAATCAAAATTTTAAGGAAAGAAAACATTTCTCCCAAAAATGTACTATAAAGGAGATTCAGAAAGATGTTGCTTAAGGGCAGCTATTTATGGAAAACTTTATAGTTCTTTTCTGAATGTAATTCAAGATAAAACACTTAAAGCTAAGGAAGTAACATATCTGATACCTTGAAAAATCAGGGAACTAAAAGAGAAAGAAGATGAAAGGAACAAATTAAAATTATATTTTGTTAATACATTTGGATCTTTGTCTACCATAAATTGTGAATTGAGAGCATATGTGACTCATATCCATATAGTTTCTGTTTTCTTCATGTACAAATGGAGTCTTCTGAAAAATTGCAGATAATAATAAAGAAAATTGTAAGAATATCAGGAGATTAATAGGTCACATATCCTCTTTGAGAAATGCAACTACCAGTTTTCTTTAACAAAGTTATATTTTCTTCTGAAATCTGGTTTTGTAAAAAATAAAGGATCATTTCATTTGAATGAAGAACAATACATTTTTTTCTGACTTTATTTTTTTTAGTACTAAAAATAATAAAATATTTTAACTTTATTGAAACCAAAGAAGTAGAGTATCTGTATGGAGTGCAAGAGAATGCTTGGTAGAGAGTGTCATATACTTCACGCACATTTTAAAAGATTCAAATTTATAAGAATCGAATGCACTTTTGTCAGAATGTAGCTATTTACTTAAATATTTGTTTAGTCTCCAGGTTTGTGGCCATAACTCAAATCAAGTCAAACTCCTAATGTTCATAAAATATCTCATCTCATTAGGAATCATGTTAGGTGGCCCATTTTTGCATTTAAGATTGATGCTAAAGAGTGACAGCCAAAGATGTAGTATTAAGAGTAGTAAGAAATAAACATTAAAGAAAATACAAGAATGGGACAATTTCTATTGGCACTGTCCTATAGAAATATAATGTGACCCACATGTGTAATTTTAAATTTTCTGGAAGCCACAATAAGAGATGTGAAAATAGTTTTAATATTTATCTAACCCAGTATTTCTAAATTATAATCATGTCAATATACAGTAAATATAAAAAATTGTTACTGAGATAGTTTACATTTACTTTTGTACTAAGTGTTCAGAATTTGTTATGTATTTTATATGTTAAACACATTTCAATTTGGATTAGCTATGTTTCAAGAATATAATAGCTATACATGGCTAGTGATTGTCACATTATACAATGAAATCTACACAATAAAGATAATCCTGACAATTAGAACATTTTTGGGAATGAGTTACTAAGCAATCACCTCACTTAATTTCTCTCCTCATGTATTAATACAATATAACATACTTTTTAGCCAAATTGGATATATTTCAATGCCTCTTAAGCCCTGAAAATTGTATAGTATATAGCCAAATCATTCATTGACATGCTGAGATGTCTATGGGAAGCTCATGCATTAATACCATGCATTTTGAGCTCTTTTCACTGGCTGGAGTAGTTTTGTCCCTATTCCTCCACCATGCAGATTCTATCAGTGCTGTTTTGGGAGCAAGGGTGTTTATTTGGCAGGATTAGATATGTATTTCTGACCGTGGTACCAAGCAATGTTTCTTGCCTATGCAGAGCTAGAAATCATGGCTCAGGCCTCATTGGTTGAGTCATCTAATCAATTGAATGGGCTAGCCAAGAATAATCAAGTAGAACATCTGTATAAGTCAAAACAAATGATACATCAAGAAAGGAAAAAGGGAAAGTAACATTTATCGAACACTTACCACAGCCAGCACTGACTTGTTGACTCCTCCAGCTACACATGGTAGCAAACTTGCTGTTCCCATTTGGCCAATAAGGAGATTGACTCAAAAAAAAAGTGCAAGTATACAAGAGACCTGGGATTCAAACCACATCACAATCTCAGTGCTCTTTCTCCTTCTTTCCCCATCTGACTAAATCATCGAAATTACCTGGTAAATTTTTTTAAAAATATAGATTTCTAGGTCCTTCCCATACCTTCTCAATCAGAATTCTTAAGTCTAATGACCTGGTATCTGTGATAATTAATAATCTTATTACTAACATGATATAAGTGATTCATAGTGAGTGAGAGCTCCAGAGAATGTGTTCACTAAGCTTTCTGTAGTTTAATCTCCTCTTTTATCCACCATTCAAATGATATCAAAAGATCCTCTTCACATCTATGCCTAGGACTGACTCTGGTTTGGGGGCATGAATTTTGTTTCCATATACAAACTAAAGTCACAATCCCCAGACTTTTCATTGGTCAAGGCAAAGCCCATCAAGTTCTCACACCAAAAATTATCTATTGCCTGTTACAAAGAAAAAAAAAATTCTGTTGATATCCTGATAGATAACCTGCCAAAAGGAAAAGGAGCTTGTGTATTGAATGTGCATGCACCAGGTGCCAGGCACTGTGGTAGACATTAAACAGAAGAGCCTATGAAATAGACATCATTAACATCATTTTCATTTAGATGAGGAAAACTATACATCAGACAGGTTCACGAGCTTTCCCAAGACCACAAAGCTAGTAATTGGTAGAACTTGATTTAAAGCAACATCTTTTGGACTCTGAAATATTTTCCCTAAGGATGGAGTCTGTAAAACAGTATGTAATCATTTATCGCCACCCTCTGTTATTACCAACATCTTCAATGATTATACTCTGAGGACAGCCCTGGCTGTGGGCCACAGTGTCAGACTTGAGAATACTGAATGACCAACTAGCCATGGTCCCTGCCTTCATAAAAGGAATGTCTCCCTGTTTAATACTAACTCTGTGGTCTCATTCTCTCTACAGGTGTACGAACAGGATGATTTGAGTGAACAAATGGCGAGTTTGGAAGGGCTCATGAAGCAACTTAATGCCATCACAGGCTCGGCTTTTTAACATATATTGCCGAATTGATGAGGTGAATTTTCCAGGAACTTTGCAGCATACCAATTACATATAAACAGCACACCTGTGTCCAAGAACTCTAACCAGTGTACAGGTCAACCATCAGAATCACTCAGTTAAGAAAGATCCTGAAGCAGTTCAGAAGGAATAAGCATCCCTTCTTTCATAGGCATCAGAAATTGTAAAATGATGACTATGAGGTCCCTAGACCTAAGCAAATGTCAAAGCTGAAGATGCTGTTATAGAATAGTCCTGGGTCTTTGCCACTGCAGTGACCACACTGTCATAACTAATGCCTGTGTTTTCCGTCATCAAGACCTGTCATTTTATATGTAGGTCTAGTCTTACAAAATGCAAGTGCATTATTTAAACCTGTACCACGCCATGGCAAACCCGTGCAAGCTCACTATTTTGTTTTCAACTTTAAAGTACAAAGAAGCACCCATGGGAATTCTCTCACTACATAGCACCAAAGGATTGGATGTTTTCCTTACAGCACAAAAAGTAAATAAGTAAACAAACAAAAAGGCAGTGAATGCTGATGTTTGTTCATCTTTGCACAAGTGGTGGATATCAGCAAGTGGCTGTAAAATTCACCCACTTGGGCAAGTATTTGGAACTCCACCCTTGGTTCACATTTATGTCGGGAGTACAGGAACATAAAAATCTGCAACTAGTGGCATCCTGCCAGCAGCAGTACACTTCCAGAAAGAGGATACAATATGCAATCTTCTCAGATAGTGGTAATTATATGCTTAAGCTTGTAATAGGACACTTTTCAATTTGGGTGGCTTTTGTGCCATATCACACTGTGATACCGTTTCAAAGCTTCACCAAGGCCATCTTCCTCAGGAGTCTGGACAGGAGAGTCGCCCCTGCCCCTCTGCCCCTCCCTGAGTTCTCTTTGGCAACTAGCCTTGGGTAAGGTAGCCAGCTCCACACATTGGATGGCTTCTTTGCCAGTATCTCCTGCCCTCCTTCCCAACACCCTGTGGAAATAGCAGATTCCCTAAGAGCAGACCCCAAGGAAGGGAAGGAAAATAAAAGGCAGTTTCTAACAGTACATTCTCTTGAACGACGCCAATTCTGCCTGTGGCATCAGTGTTGGCAAGTGTTGACCACCAGGCCCTGTTGCCAAGGGAACCTTCTACACCATAGCTGTGCCAGAGTCAGGGAGAGACAGAGGGCCGGGTACCACTTTACACTTCTGACACATCATAAACCCACTGGATACCTTTCAAAAGCAGCGTCTTAAACTGTGGGCTAGAATTTTAAACTTCTATGGCCATGTTTATGTACAGCTTGGAACTAGCTGAAATTAAGAATATTTTGTGTGCAACATTTTAGTTTCTGAATTTTCAGCTGCATTTGGAGTTAATCCCTGTTTATGCAGCTGAATCGCCAAAAGGGAGCTAGTTTGCATATTTATCAGTTAGGCGACTTAAAAACCCAATGGGAGAGTTTCAGCTGAATTATTCCTTTCAGCTCTGCCTTTGATTTCAAGCTTGAGTAGGTCATAATTTTAAAAGAGCATGGAAGGGATAGGATCTTTACAACCTAATAGCTCCTTTTATTAGGTGGGTAATTATATATGAATCCCTGAATGAAATATTTTGAGCAAAATGGCACTGTAACAGAAGTAATAATTCAGATTATTTTTTTACAGTTTTATGTCAGGAAGGAAATCTGATGTCAGAGAGGGCTGTTCAAATGGTTCATTAGAAAGTCCGGTCCATTTGCAAAATTGTTCCTTCTACAAGAGTGCTCTTTCAATCTAAGATTTTCTGGAAGTCCCTCAGAAGAGCTATGTGACATTGTTCTATGGGACAGATTACTCTTGTTTAACATCGGGGCACTTAGGTAGACAACCCTCCACTGACTTGGAATGAGGCATTTCTTAACATAATATTGAAATTCTTCAGAAATAATCCATAACATCAAAAAAGAAAATGTTCATTAGGCTAGCCTAACCTTCTCTAGGCTCTAGAATAGCCTCCCCTTTCTAATACTGACACACAGGGAACATTCTCTGAAGGCATTTGATATCACTAGGATCATTCTGGATGCTCAATTTGGAATGGGCTGCAAATCTCAGATTTTAGGGGTTGAGTACAATTTCAATCTGTAGAATGAAGTTGGACAATCAAGAGAACTAGCATTTTCACAAAATTCTAGATCCCTCTAGTCAAAGTCAATGACTTTAGGAAGCAAAAATTTGAAAAAATACATGAAAAGTATATGTGACTTGTTTTCAGTGGGAGTTGTATTTCTGCTGCATGCTCTTGAAACTTTCTTTGTTACACAAATATAGAGGTTTATTTTAGCAATTTTGGCAATGCTAAAAAGTCTTAGCACCAAGCATTGAATATAGAGTAGGATCCATTTAAATATCTTCAAAAGAATCTAGTGTCATTTACCTGGTGGTTTTGATACACAATGACTTCACCACAACTTCCATAAACCTCTGCGCTCTGCACTCTCAAGTAGTTCACATACGTGTACAACTGCCTGCCCTACTTTTTAGGTAACTTTCCAATCCCTTTCCAGTCTCCTAATTTCTTGACAAGAAGAACTTGTGAATACTATGAGATAATTCCTGTTTTGCTTCTACTGAATCTAGTTCATGGCATGCAGTTCTTTTTAAGCTCATAAATCTCTCTGACTCCCATAGGGTGATGCCTGATGGCCAGCTAGCAGTTCTGCCACCAGGATTCATTTCTCCCTGAAAAAGGAGAAAAATCAAACCTGGCAGAGCATTCTCAGGCCTCCCCTGCAAGGTGCTGAACTGTCAGGCAAGAACCTCCTCTTGAAAAAAACAAAATGGGTATTTATGTTAATATTTCACCTGAATAAGAAAGCTATTTTCTTTCCTATAGAACTTTCCACGTTTTGTTAAACTGACAGAAATGCAAATCGCTCAAAAGGTATAAAAAATATTTGGATGATACACTAGCCAAAAGTTAAATATTTCTTAGTGATTCACCTCCAGTAAGAAACCAGCCAGACTTGCCTCTTTGTATAACAGAAATCAAAAGATATAAACTTCTTGAAAATTTAAATAATGTAACTTTACATGTGGGTATTATAAAATGCACACTCAATTGAGCAACTTGAAAACAAAACCAAGCCAGTGATATAAGAGGTAGATTTATTAAGCCTTCTTGTTGGATATAACATTAGTTTTTTTCAAAATAAAAATTATTCAAAGTGAGATGTAGGTTTAGTCTCCTGCCTTGGTAGCAGGTACAAAAGGGGAGAGCCAGCTGGCATTAGTGTGATGGTCCAGACAACACTTTGGACCTGTAAAATTTGGCCTTCATTGGCTTTTCCAATATAGAATCTCTCAAGTACAGGTCTTTCTGGAAGCTGTCAGTGTCTGTACGTAAAGATGATTTCGAGTACTTATCCACCCTTTGGAAACGTCTGTTGACTTTGTTTAAATAGGCATCTTAAGGTTGTCTCCAAATTTAATAGAGTGTCCTAGATATGACAGCTGGACTGTAATGCCAACAAAAAGTTATCTCTAAAGATATCATCTTACTATTTTAGACAAAATCATATCCCAGACTCAGACCTCTTATGGTTTTAGAATGTACATTTCTAGTCAGTAAAAGAAAGGAAACTAGAAAAATTCCCTGGTTTTAGGTGTGTCTAAACAAAACAAACGCATCTGAACTTTAAAATAGGTGGGGAGCAGGGTTGCTTTCCATGCCTCATTTGGTTCCCTTCATACAACCACAGGCAGTACTGCAGGCCAGAGGTTGTGTCCTACCCTGTTCATAACTACATCCACAAGACAGAGCCCACAATCTTCTAGAGCTTCAGAAGCATTCATACACTCAAATCTACACTCTCTCTCTTTTTAGAAATCACATTCAAAACAACATTTGACTCATAATTTGTATTTATCTCATAACTTTTCAGAAAGTGCTTTCGTATTGTACAAAAAACCAAACACTTGACTTCGGTATTCTAATTCAAATTGGATACTTTGGAAAATCATAAATAGGTGTTTTGTATGATATTCCATTCCAATGAAGAGTATATGCACCCATCCTTCAATATGCCTTGCTATTCAAACTCCTGCTTCCAAAAAATAGTGATTCTGAAAAGAAATGCCTATTTCCTAGTCAGTGAGGTTATACAGGAGACAAAATACCGTGCCCACATCAGAAAGTGAATGTTATTATACTTCTGATCTGGGTTCTCTGTTGCCACTATTGGATGATGTTCACTTGCTGGACTTCCAGTTGCACTCTCCGAAGGATTTTTTTCTCTTGCTCTCAGTAGAGAGCCTTTGTGCATTGTCATCCTATGATTTTTGTTGGTAGCAGTACAACAGCAAAACTCTACAAGATGTCACAGAGGCATGGGCCAAGGGATCTCACTGTGTGCTGAACGTGCATTTTCAGATGCAAGAAAGGAATGTTGGAGAGGAGGAAAAATGCTGTTTTTTATTATTGTAGGGTAAACCTGACAATTCTGAACTTTGTGAATTGTCAGCTTGTTTGGGGGAGGGTGGGTGGGTATGGGGTGTACTTTTTATAAGTAATATTTAATTTATTATTTAGAGTGGCTTCTTTTTGGATAATTTATGATAAAAAGGGAGATCTGGTTGGGATTTAGGTATGGCTGTTAAAGCTGCAGTGTTCCATATCTTGGAGGGACCACTTTGGAAATGAATTGTCCATTGCTGGGTATAACGAGATGTCTAGTCCAGGCAAAGCCTTCACTGAAGTTCCATCATCACCACCTTCTCCCTCCCTAGGGTCATTCAGAGAAGATGACACCAAACCTGAAATAATTCTAAAAGCATTTTTCAAATCACTGCTACTCATTCTCTCAAAGGGCTTTGCAACTTGAATTGTTAGTGTGCTAGTGATAAGTTTATTTGGTAGAAATGGGTATACTACAGCTTTAACTAGCCTTAGTGGAAGAAGAAACTTTTTGTTGTTACAAAACACCTTTAAAAAAAAGGTATTTTGAGTCTACAAAGAGTTTCTTTAAATTGTCAGACTCTAGCATTGTTAACCAAATTAGACTAGTGATTGCAATATTTAAGTGTAAATCTTGTTCTATGAGAAAGGAAACTTGCTTACAGTTTAAAACAATGACTGTTTCTACACATGATCTTGTATACTACTACACGAGGAAAAAGGGGTTTTGTAATCACTGTAGAACAGTCTCATATTCATTTTTTATAGAAATGTTATTCCAATGGTGCATTTTTTGTTTAATAAATAAAGTTTTGATACAAAGTTCTTTCATCATGTTATTTATAGTAAATGGTTGTACTACACACACAGCCCCAAGCCTGTCTGTACTTATCCTTAGAATACACTGTCTTAATTGGTTTGTGTTTCTATAAAGGAATACCTGAGGCTGGGTAATCCACAAAGAGAAGAGGTTTATGTGGCTTGTGGTTCTTCAGGCTGTACAAGAAGCAAGGTGCCAGCATCTCTTCCTGGTGAAGGATTCAGGCTGCTTCTGCTCACAGTGGAGGGGGAAGGGGAGCCGGCATGTGCAGAAATCACATAGCGAAAGAGGCAGCAAGAGAGAGGAAGGAGGTGCCAGAGTCTTTTAAACAAACCAGCTCTTGGGGAAACTAATGGAGTGAGAACTCACTCATTACCAAGAGGATAGCACCAAGCCAATCATGAGGGATCTGCTACCATGACCCCATGACCCAAACACTTCCACTGGGCTCCGCTTCCAATATTGGAAATAAAATTTCAACATGAGATCTATTGGGAGGGGGCCAAACATCCAAACCATGGCATACACGTTGCCTCCTATTAACATCTGTGGTAGAAGCTCTCAGTATCTGCCATGCCCATTGGATCCTTATACCATTTCTCTGCACACTCCCAAGTGCACTTTCAATCCCAGAAGTCAGCACCCATGTCTTTTTATTGGCGAGCTGCCTCAGACTGCTGGAACTTACTTTGTCTACAGGCACAGGAGAGCTAGATGTGTCTGATCAGACCTCACCAGTGGCAGCTAAATACTCTACCCCCTTTGCCCTCAATGGAGATGACTCTGAGATCTAACCCAATTTATCTCTGCAGGGCTGAGCCAAAGTGACTACATGGAGATGTTGCTTCACAGTACTGCACTCACGATAGTGTACCTATGCTTGGCTTGCCTCCTTTCCCTTTCCCTCTTTTCCCCTTCCCCTAATTGTTTCTCCAGGGAGCACTTCATAATAAATCACTTTGACACAAGTCTGCATAGCAGGATCTGTTTCTGGGGAGTTCACCCAAGACAAAATCCTTCTATCTGTGATCCAGTTTCAACACACCAACAGCAAATGAATGAAATACTCTCTCCATCCCCCAGATATTTCATTTGTATAGAGTGAATAGCAGAACATGGGGACATATATGCGTCGAACAATACATATCTGCAGGTATTGAAAGATTCAGTTTGACATACCATCTATTCTTTAAGAAAAAGTTATGTATTAATGAAAGTTTTATTAACTCTTTTGGGCAAGCAGAAAACTTTCAGTAAGTTATAGTTTCAAGACAATGTATCACAGATGACAGGACAGATGAAGGCTTTAAAGGTCACCTAGCTCTTACCATGTTCTTCAACCAATTATCAGTCCATCTAGAGAAAAGAAATGTATTTGAATGTCTCTAAGGATATGGAGAAACCAGAACCCCTGTTCATTTTTGGTGGGATTTAAATTGATATAGTCACTGTAGAAGAAAAAAGTGGCAGTATGATAGTTTTGTTTTTTTTTTAGAAAATTAAACATAGATTACCACATGATCCAACAATTCCACTTCTCAGTATATACCCAAAAGAATTGAAAGAAGGGACTGGAACAGATATTTGGCCACCCATGTTCATGAAAGCATGATTCACAACAGCCAAAATATGGAAGCAACACAAGTGTCCATAGACAGACCAATGGATAAACAAAATGTGGTATATTCATACAATGGAATATTATTTAGCTAAAAAAATAAGAAAATCCTGTCACATGCAAGATAAACCTTAGTTAAATAAGCCCATCACAAAAAGATACTGTATAATTCCACTCATATGAGGTATGTAGCATAGTCAAATTTATTAAACATGGACAGCGGAAAGTAGAATAGTGATTGTCAGTGGGTAGGAGGCAGTGGGGAGCATTTGTTTAATAGGTATAGAGTTTTAGTTTTGGAAGATGAATAAAGTTCTGGAGATGGATAGTGGTGATGGTAACATGAAAAATATGAATGTAGGCTCCTCACCTGCCAGACACACTCCAGCGAGGCAGAAAGCACTAAAAAAAGAAAAAAAAAATTGGGCACTCTCTGGGGGATAGACACACTTGAAGCTCTGACTCAGGTGGGGCAAAGGCAATATATGTAACTTAAATATTTGTATTATTGTAATATGCTGAGATAAAAAAATTAAATGTACTTAATGCCACAGAACTATACACTTAAAAATGGTTAAAATTATAAATTTCATGTTACATTATATTTTACCACAATTTTTAAATAAGGATATTCCAGCGCCATCTTCTACAAATACTGATGTTTATTCTGACTTCTGAAATATAAATATGTAACAGCAAACATATTAAAAGAGATATGGAGAAATAGAAGCAACACATATAGCAATCTATTTTATATCAGAAATATTACACTATTATATTCAATTCATGTAATCATCTCTTACAAAAGAATGTTGTGTTATCATTGAAGACTATCAGATATGATTGTCTCCATGGAAAACTGGCTATTTAAAGAAAAATTAAATGGATATCTAGTGTCTGTCCTAAAGTGGAGAATAAACTATTCTGTCCACTGCCAATATTTTTATGGGAAGGATTTTGGAGTAGTTGAAATGTAAGATACTCTATTATCTCAAATATTCTGTGGTGGTATGAAGAATAGATGGAATGTATTAATGTGTGTGCAGGTGAACTTAGTAGATCTGAAAGAAAGTGGAAATTCAAAGAGACCCACCCAGAGCTGGAAGCCAAAAAGATTGACATTGCCTCTCTTTTGGGGACATTTTCTTCATTGATTACTCATTTGTTTCATTTACTTTGACACATTTTAAAGTTGTATCTATAATTCTTAAAATGTTTCCCTTATCTTCATCTTATCATTTCTCTTCATTTTTTTCCATTCCTTACTCTTTTCTCTAAACATGCTTTGCATATTCTTAGTTTGACCATCCACATTACTGTTTCTACTTGTTGTAAAGTTAACCTTGCTTGCATTAATGCTTTTAATTCCACTAGAATATTTTTAATTCACTTGCAATTCTTCGTTTTCTTACCCATCTTCTTTATTTCATAGTGTTGTCTTTTTCTCACATCTTGTTACTTATTAAATTCCAATTCTATTTCATGGGGTTGATATTTCTTCATAAGTATAAAAATGCAAAGCAGTTTTCTATAAAAGAACCTTCTTCTGGTTTTGTAAAAGAATCATACTCTATGCCTGCTATGTCTCATTACCTTAGCCTACTATCTTTATTTCAGTTAGAAATATTTTTAATGTATTCATTTATTTCCAAATGAAGGAAGATCTATTGAGATCAATGCGTGTCAAGCCCCTGTGCAATTGAATTGCTCTCAGCCCCATTTTCCAGCCTTTTTTGCTTTGTGACTTTCTTCTGAGTCACAACTAGATGGCCAATTATCATATACAGATGCCTGAAAAGCTTCCAGTATCTCACAGACTTTTATCTAGTGTAACTCTGCTAAGCTGGTAGGAGGTCTTCCCTTTCCTCTTCCTGGCTCTCTGATTCACAAGTAGAGTGAGTGATAAGAAACAAACCTTGAAAATACACAAATTCAAATCACTTCAATTCTCTTTCTCTACCAATAAGGCTGTAAAGATGAGAAATGTACCCAAGATAATTAGTTTCCTTCTTATTTCTTCTGCTGAGTTCTGTTCTGATAGTTTATGAACGTAGTGGAGAGAGAGATTAGAGGAAGAAATAAATAACTCTTCTCAGTGTCTGATTTTTTTGATGCAGCCAGAATACCTTTCTAGATTTTTGGTTGGTGTAAATTTTGCATCTGCGAACTAAAGATCATTTTGCATAAGATCACTGACAAGATGGCAAGGATGCCTCATCTATTGTGCTTTTCTTAAAGTTTCATTGGCCTTATAGTTTGTGTAAAAACCAACCAAACAAAAATATCTCTGGATTCTGAAGAAAGGGCTCTCTTTTCAAGCCTGCATTTTAGTAGTGATTTCTTCTTCTTCTCCCTCTCCTATTCCTTTTTCTATTAATAATATATAATTTTCTGAGTCCATAGATATTTTAATGCAAAATAGGGATGGACTGTGTTAGGGGCAACTTTACAGTACCATTTTAATTACTGAATTCTAGATATTTTTGAAGTTTTATCCTCCCTTTTATTTACCTAAGTCTAAGCTGAATCTATTTATTTATCATTTTTTTGTTTCCATATTGTTGTATTCTTTTCCCTTTCATTTGTAACTAATATTTCTTCTTCTCCTTAACTTTAGAAATTCATAAATTGAT